AAAATAACATTGAAATATGTATTTTAACTCCGCGAGACCCGCCGCCGACGACGAAATAATCCGTTTACTTTATGAATTCCGCGGATGAAATCCTTGATAACGCTATGCGCGCTCATCCGCGGCTACTAAAATTGAATTGTAAATCTAAACGTGTGTAAGCGAGTTCCTCCGGACTACGCGGATTGTGCAGCGGCTCCTGCGCTTCGTACTAAAAATTTTCGCTCCAGAGAGAAGAGGTGACAGTGTTGTTCCATACGCGTTGATACGTTTTAAAAGCCTCAAGTTTTCAAATAATAATGTGAATAGGATGAAGTAGAAATAAGCGAGGTATAACAGCATAAAAGGAACAAAATACAGAATGTCAGTTTATCCAGCTGTTTAAATTCTCTCATTTCTTTCCACTTCTACTTTTGTAACAAATTAACATCAGAAGTTTGTGCAACTGATTTTTCCCTCTGACTGTCCATAACATAATAACAATTTCCAATTAAAGTTAGTTCTGGTTCAATCGAAAAAAGAATTTTAGTTTGCACGATACGAGATTCATAGGGAATTAATTTTACAATTTGTTGTGTTTATTTTTGTTCCGTTGAAAATCCAAGTTTGGACGTGCGTGCGAGGTGTTACGCGTTTTCGAATGGAAAAATATTTCATCGTATAATTGGCGAAGAATAAAGGGAAAAAAAATTGTTGGAGCAAGCCTCCCTAGTATATTGGTTTCGAATTCTTCCAATTTTTATATAAATTTGATACACAGTGAACGTTTGCATCGTTAGGATTCGCTTTCACAGCTCGAGGGAGAGGATTGATATGGAATCAGTTGTAACTGTTCAATATAATAAGAATTCAAATCTGCAATGTATACGTGGAGTCAATTGCGATAAATGAATTGATAACAAGAATAACAAATTGAGATAGAATTTTACGGAGCACTTTTGGAATCTAATAAAACCTGATAGAAAACGACGCAAAAGGATCAGGGCATGGTTCAGAGAAAATAATGATCGAAAGTCATACGGCGAATCCTCATCCAGTTTAATTGTTACGACGTCGTCTAGATATCAATTTGGCCGTGGGCAGATCGCGGATCAGGATAACGGGGACACAGGGAAGTAACTGTGGAATCAGGCAGCAGCAAAGGACGTCAGTGTGAAATTAAATTAGCGAGCCTTCGGCAAAATGTGGGAACAGTGTTCGAGGTAAGAATAACAGCCCGTGAAAGGTGCGGCGCGGCACGGCGAGGTGCACTTTACATCGACCCGAGCGAGCTATCTACCTACCTGCACCGTAGCAATATGGATCTCTACCGTATATCAGCTTTGCGATAACACGATCAAAGGATAACTTTGCGAAACATGTTGTTTCTAAAGACATCTATCTTCTCCCATTGTGAGGACCGGGTATTAAAATCAAGATTACCTTTTCGTTCCCCGCTCCCACTACCTCGCTTGGTTTTTTCTCTCGCTCGCTCGCTCTTCCCGTCAGCCGACGTGCCTTTGAGGGTGATCGTTTTGCGGAATAAATTAACGCAGAAACAGGGTATTACGTAGGCTCCACAGAATCGGGTTACGGAGATACCTCTCTCGTATTCGTTTAATATTACATGTACGACGATCACGAGAAAATAAATGACCAGTTTATTTCCCCAAATATTTGTCTACGATATCTGGAATGAATTTCATTTGGATCATCGATACCCGTCCCTGTTTCACCAATCGCATCGCGGACAGTGCAAAAATCGATTGAACCCGGCTAATACACGCGTGTACACACCGTGGGCCAGAATCACGGCGGTTGATACATACAACGAAGTCAAACAGTCCGGCAGCCGAACGTCAATAGGCATGATCCGGTTCATTTCCTTGAGGAAATAATCGGCAAGCGACAGAGTTTAATTGCGATTCAAAGATGGCCAGACGGTTGTATTTGCCACTGCGTGCGCTCCGACCTAGCATTGTGCAATGGTGCGACGGATCGTTTGTTTACGGGGCTTCCATCGAGCCGAGGCCCAGCCTCAGCCCTCGGCTTTGTTATCACAGCTTCTTTCGTTCCATAACCGTCCGAAGAGATTCGCGGCGATGATGTACGAGCTAGCTTATGGAGGAAAGCCCTTTTTTCCCCCCCTCGTTACTCGAAAGTGCTCCACCAACTTCTATAATAATTCTTTACCAAATATCGTTATTGTACCGCTGGTTTCGCCTTCGACGTCGATCTCGAGTACTCCGAGATGAAATGAAATACACGCAGAGGAACGAGAAGGGTGGACGCGATTGAGAAATTTCTATTTTATTCCTTTTTGTCATCGACTGGCGAATTTAACTCGCGTAAAATATTATGTACTGTTCTCGCAATAACTTTGAGCATCATCCGAACGTTAAATAGAGACTGAATTAGTTCATATTGAAATTCTGAAATTCGAAGTTAGGACTAATAATGGCTTGGTTGTAACAATTTTAAATGACTACGAAGTTAAATGAATGCAGTTGAGAAGTTTCGCCATTTAATTTATGTATGGGCCTGCCTGCTGGAAAGTGGCAAACGTTTCGCTCGCGATCAATCGTTCCAAGCCGGGCTACAGCCGTGGTTTCATCACCGTGTCTGACCTCTACCAACCGTGGGCTGAATCTACTGGTTCCCGGCGTTGCGTGTACAGCCTTCAAATTTTCTGTTCAACCTCTCTACGATAATACGAAACTCTCACTCACACGTTCCCTTACCATGGGAGGTGGATATATAAAAAATGATTAAAACTGAATCAATTAAATTTTAATGTTTTAAGATTGTAGACATAATTATTAGTTTCTACTCTGGAGATCAAATTCCAAAATATTCAAAAGTATACCCTTGTCAGGGAACGTCAAATTCGTTTTTATTCATCGTGTATCAATAGATCTCGATATCAAAGGTATCTGCACTTCAATTGCTAA